TTTTTTTTCTCATTTCTCTCTTTCTCAAATTTAAAAGGCTCCCAATAGCCACAAGAAATAGCAGCTAGTTGTAACCGTCTAAAAAGATTTCGCTCTATGAGTGGTGATGGTTTGACCTCATTTTATTTTATTGTCAGAAATTACTGGATGGAACATTAGCGGGAAAAAGCGTTTCTTTTCGAAACTGAAAAGAAAGCAAAAAATTTTTGAATCAAAGTGGTTATGGAAGCAATTTTACCGCTGAAAAACATTTTTGAAATAGGTAAACGATAAAGGGACGAAATCACACATTTGTCCTAAAGTGTATATGAGCTTCGTAGGCATCCTGATCAAATCGTCTTGCTATATCTTACTATAGCATTACTGTACTATTCTACGATATCATTACTATTATCCTGTATATATACTACGATCAAAACCACTAACTAGAAGAATGATTGTAGTGAAAACTTTTCAAAAGGTTTAAGGGCAAAACTTTTGGTTTGTTTGAACTTGAATGAAAAAAAACTTATTATTCCAGCAACCTAGTAGCAACTCAATTTCAACGCTGCAGAGCAGTGAGATATATTTGAATGTGATGTAGCTACTTGCAGATGGAAGCCGACATAGAGTTTGTAGCCCCTTGTCAGAGAGAAATTGATGCTTATGTGCAAAATAATGTCACTGTTTTTGCCTACTCCTTCGATTATATTCCTGACAGCCCAATATTCGAAGAGGTGAGTTATTGCTAAATTCGCTTCAGCAATAAATATTGATAGAGAAGAACAGTGTTCTTTTGAATCTCGGGTATCTACAAAGATGCAATATTCTGATTTAGGAGAAGAAAACTTTTAACCTATTTGGAAGAGATCCGGTGACAGTTTTAAGAAAAGATCAAACGCTAAAAGGTGGGCCATCAAATAGATGTTAATGAGTATTGCGACAGAAAGGATAAGCTTAAGCTGTTGTTAGTCCAAAAATGTAGAAAAGAAGAGTATCATTTCATTTTCTGCTCTCAAACTGTGGCAGTGAGTTCGGATAGATAGTTGTATCATTGCCCACAACAATAAATTTCTTTTAAGATTTAACTCAAATATTTCTTTTAAATTTTGAACACAATTTTGCCTATTTTTAATTCGAAAAATACCACAGAAATGGGTATTCAGTCGAAAGTAGTGCGGTGTGGCTATTTATCTCGTTTCCTAAGCTGCATTTGCAATTTAGATCGCAAAATCGAAGCTTTTCATGGCCTCGATCATGCTTTCATATTTTCCCGAGGTTACAGTAGTAATTTCGAAATACGGCCGTTCACCAAGAAGGATGAGAACATGGCCAAAATACTCACGAATATGGTGACAAATTTCGCAAAAACAGGCGATCCCTCCACAAAGAGGTTGGCGTTTTTAAGGAACTGCGAGTTGCATAGGAGTGAGGAAGCATGATCTTCAGGGTTTAGATTCACTTGGCCGCCATTCAAAGGGAATGCAACCACTCAGCATGTGTCCATTGATCTTCCTCCTAAGTAGGTATTTAACTTTTGAAAACAGGAAGAGCACGACTATAAAGAAACGAAGAAGTTTAGAGTTATACAAGGTGAGCTACATTGGCCAAATCCGAAGTTTTGGAACGTGGAAGCAGAGATGATAAGTCACCATGTAGACGATGGTGAGCTGAATGTTGATCCAGATGCAGATTTGAGCAACGAGGAAAGGGTGCAGGTGGGTACCAAACATCAATTAAAAAACAATCAGGAGCACTTTTTAAATCAAGCTGGAGCTGGTTCAAAAAATTGTCACAGTAACTGTGAAGTTTGGTAAGTGCAGGTAGACGGCCAGGCCGTACCTGCAACTTATGAAGTTATTGGAAGTCAAGCAGCTTCACCGCAAACCCTGTAGCGTTAGAGAAGTCAAAGCTGAACAACTTTTTGTATGATTTATACAAGAATTTGACAAAAAAAGCATCATTATTTATTACTGCGTATGTCCTCAACATTCAACTAAATGACCAACCTAAACTAACTGTGCGGCCAACGACTGGATTAGTCTTGGGATACGTGGAACCGTCGTATGATCCACGACAAGGACACATTTTTTTTTGGTCAGTGCGGCTCCATTTTGTGCATT